CGAGAAAGCTTCACATGATACATACAATTAAATCTCGGCAGGAATCATTTCCGATGCGTCTACCATTTACATGTCTGTTAAAAGTTAAAAGTATGTAACTAAAATATTTCACTTAAAAATATGTATTTAATCGAGGTAAAAGGCTCTAGTAGAGCACATCTATTAGTATGTTTTACTGTAGGTTGCCAAGCAATATCCAACTTCTTTGCAAAGAGGAGTTCATGTTCCCAAGAGACAAGGGACAAGAAGAAGCAACGAATGGCGGATCATCATTAAAAAACTTCAAAAAACCCCCAGTGCCAAGTGAAACTGTAGTTGCCAATATCGTGCAGGATGCAAAGACTGAGCAGGTATATTTTCTTTGTTGTTAAGATCCTTCCAGAAGTGAAAACACCTAAATTTTCTGTTAGTTTAGCTGATTCAACAATTCTCAAGTAAAACGCGTGTTACCTCGCAAACTATGCCAATCCTTTAAAAATTGTCCTAGCTGATACTTACGACGCGAAAAGCTTCCTCCCCAGTTTCCTCTCTATCCTTTCCCTGCCCGGCCTTAAGGTCAATGAACTGTTAGAAAATCAGACCGAAAAGTAAGCTGGCTGGAATGCTCTTTATACTTTTCTAACGAATATACGTTTTAACTTGGTAGGTCGCATCTGACGTAAGAGAAGCGATGGCAATCGACACAGGTAACAGATTGGCAAAGGTCATAACCAGCCATTGCATACCCACACTTCATTCCACTGATCTACTTCCGGTTGAAATTATAGTCTTGAGCAAACGTGATAGCGAGGCTAAAGCAGAGCTGGCTGTTGCTGCAAAAGTCCGAAAAGTTTTGTTATCTACGGCTTCTTCTGCCGTTAGTAAAATGGCAGAATTGTCTAACACTTTGTTGTCTGTTTACAAGGAGGAAAGCAATGAATTTGCCACAAAAATGTGTACCACCTTAAACTACGTGATACCATCTTTATTGCCAGTAGATCAAGGGCCTTCGGTTTCTGCACCTTTCATGTCTCTGTTAGAAGTAATGGTTAAACAGTCAACGTTAATTGATGAATACAAGCTCCACATAGGAAAATTACGAAGAGAGTTAGACTCCAAAGATGCTATAATACAGGAAATTGAGCACCAAATGCAACAGTCCAAAACGCCAAGAGTTCCCGAAATTGCCCTTAAACTGGCTTGCATTATTGAAAATCCAACAGAAGACAATCGCTACTTGACATCAATTGTATCCAATTTTATCCAAAATAATGGGGTTGTGTCCGGAAAAAGATGGAACGATGATGTAAAAGATCTTTTTGCCATAATTCTTGATTATGGGGGCCCTGCGCTTGTTAAAATTGTATCAGAAAGGTTGAATGGTCCAAGCGTCATGACCTCTTTTAGAAGAGCGAGATCTACATGGACAACGCCGATTACTTTAAAGGAGGTTTCTGTAGAAAGAACAGCCGCGTTTTGTGAAAGCATAGGATATAGGGGACCTTTTAGTTTGGCTGTTGACGCAACTGCTGTGATTCCAACTTTAAGGATTAAAGGAAACACTGTTTATGGTCTTGCAACTGAATCGGATGTCATCGCAACATCAGCACAAGATGTGATTGACATTGTAAAAAATAGCAACATCGAGAAAGCCAAACAAGCCAATGCATTTACGCTAGTTCCTTTATAAGAACATGTGCGTTCCTTCGTGCTAGCAATATCTTCCGTCGTTAATGGTCAAGACTACTTGACAGTAGACACTTGGTTCAACAATGCATTACGATGGTGTTCAGCTAAACGCATTAAATTGATCGGCGTCGGTGCAGACGGAGATTCCAAGCCGGTTTCGCAAATATTTCACCCAGCGTTTCCTGAAATTCACAGAAGTGCAAAGAGGGGGCAATTCAGTCACAATTCCCTACGAATCATTTGACTTTGTCTCTGTCATAGAAGAATACGACAACGTAAGAACACCGATCGTTATGTTTCCAGACTGGAGGCATCTAATTAAGAAATGGAGAAACCAACTCCTTAACGTGAAAAGAGTCTTATTTCTTGGAAATCAAGTAGTACAATTGGAGCATATAATAAAGACTTACGAGGCTCACAGGCTTGAATCCGGTTTATGGAAAAGTGACATATTTGTTAAAAACAAGCGGAACGTAAAAGCAGCAACACGTATTTTATTAACGTCCGTTCAACAATGTTTGGCGACCTGGAATTACCAGAGAACAATTAGCAAACAAACATACTTAAAAATTGGTCAAAATATGTTATCAGCATTCACTGAACCAAACATTTCCATTAGAGAACGCGCCCAATTGGCATGGTCAGTAGTGTCCTTCCTTCGACTATGGAAAGTGTGAATAAAAATTTCCGAATATAAGACCGAGACCTCTTTTATCTCCGATCAAACTTATCGCGACTTCATTCTAGTTGACCACAGCATTATTTTGTCAATGAAAATCTATTCCATTTATTTTCCGGATATGCCATACCAGCCATGGATGTTTGGGTCGAACGAATGCGAGGATTTGTTTGCCGGATTACGAGGATTTTGTAAAGGAAGATCAAATCTATGTATGTTAGACATGATTGAATAGTCTGGTCGTATACAGAAACTAAAGGAATTGAAGATAAAAAACCAAAGTGTGCAATACCCATCTATTGCACCAGACTGGAACAACGTTGAAAATGAAATAATAGAGGGAATGAGAATGGCAGACAAACAAGTCCTGAAAACCATTGAATTATTGGGAATGCTACCCAACCTTCAACAAGGGAACGTCATCAGAAAGGAAGGAGACAACCTTATTTACTTGAACAGAGCGGTGGAAACGTGGATTGACTCGAAAGATTTTCAACCAGACGAAACTAAGGTAGTAGGAATAGAAGAATTGTTAGATCTCAATAACGGGGTCCTGTTCCAGTCACTGAACGAACAGATTGAAAGTAATCACTATAACATCTTAAGTGATCTGGCAGCAGCATCGTTTAACGGGACTCATAATGATAATGAGGACGAAGGCACTTTTCACGTGGAGGACGACGACGACGACAGCCTTCGAAACTGTGGTTTGTATGGCAAAGGCAAGTGTTTGTATTTAACGAAAAATTACCGTCGACCGAAAGAAACATCTTGGATAGGGTGTGAATTCCCCAATTGCAATGACTGGTACCATGAGGCATGCCTAGGTCTCCAGTTAAGTGCAAGAGACAAGGATTCCTACACTTTTGTCTGTAACAAACATTCAGAAGCAACAGGACAATTCCACACCAAAGTTAAAGCGAGCGCCTCGGACCCCGATAGTCTCTTGGAAAGAGACTGCAATGCTCCGAAGCTCTTACCAAAAGGACGTAAAACAGGAAAAAATTCCTCGAAACCTGACAGAGATTACTCTCGGTTACCTTCATATGTCGAATTCGAAGGAAGTTTTTTTTCACATTGCCGAATTTGTATCTTTACAAGAAGGAAAGGTCTATAGGCCTCAGACGTCTCGTATTTCCAGGTGGATGGCAAGCTCTCAGAGTGACTTTTATGAGCAAATAGACAAACTAATATCACCGGAAAGGACACACAACGGCCTTTATTTGGACGACTTCGGATCATTTTGGGTTCCGAACAGCGGACTCAACATAGGGCAAATCATCAGAATTCTTTGGTGTCCGAGCTACAAGCCGTCGTCACCCAGTTTCTGAGTGGAAAGATAATCCACAGGAGAAGGGAAAGACATCCATCTGCATTCGAATTTGGACTCACATAGAAGTTGGGTTGAAGTGGAAACTTCACCCGCAAAACGCTATTCAGTGGTGTGATCCCAAAATGTTGTTAGAAAAATACCATGCAGGCGATTCAGACACCGAGAAATTTATTGATCCTTCGATAATGGAAGCTGATGCTCCCCAGATTCGAAAAACTAGAAGAAGAAAGATTACAAAAACAAAGAAGGGCTAAAGAACAAGAAAGACAAGAAGCGAAAAAGGGTGCACCAGAGAATTTATCAAAAGAGCTCCTAAAAGAAATTCTGACTGAGCATGGAATAACATTCCAAAAAAGTGCAACTAAAATGGAACGCATCAACAAAGTCCTTTATTTGAGAAGACAATTGCAACAAAAGGCAAACGTAACAACTGAAATGGAAAACGACGGTCGCGAAACAGTAGGTGAAATTGAAGTTACACATCTTGATGAGCCAATTAGTGATTTCGCTTTTATGCCAATATTTAATCAGTTATTTCATAAACCGTCCGAAACAGAGCAGAAATCTGCTCACAATGGCAATACCAATCACTTAATTGTTATTGATTATTATTGATTTTATTGATTATTGATTATCATTGAATGATATCGCCGGGTGTCACTATGGCCCCGCACTATTAGGATTTTGATTTCAAACTGACCCCAGACGCGAAAATTAAGCCAGTTTTGTTTTAAAGTAGAGGCGGGTAAGACCTTATCTTACCATAGTCACGCGTTGGTAACACTCTACGTCCAATTTTTATACTATGATGGGTCAAAATTTGACAGGTGAGTTCATGCGGAAAAATTATGCAGCATCTTGAAAGTTGTTTACTGTCTTTACTTTGACAGCTGAAGCTGACAGAGTTTTGTGTCAACTTGTGATGTTTTTAACTGTCTTTTTCCTCTGGATGTACAAAATGAAATAAAGCTGCTATCAAGAGTCTTCTGTTATTCATGGCTGGTTTGTTTACTGTGTTTTTGGTTGAGAAATGCGTCGCTTGTCAAAATTCGGTAATTCGAGTTTGGATGGCATCGTTTTTGTTTTTCACCTTGCTTAGTGCGTAAGAGGGTTTAAAAGTCTCAAGCAACTGTGGTCTTCCTTGATAGCTTTCAGGAACTGAATCTCGAATGGTAAGCCTGAGTAATTATTGTGTTTGATGTTTGTTTTTGTTATATCTTATTTCATGAAGTCTTGCACAGTTCACGCTGACAGTTTATGCGGCAAGTTTATGCCGTTTGTAGGATTTGAGTCAATAAGCTTGCAGAACTTTAAAAAGCCTTCACATACATTTGCTCACCGCAAGTAGAAAGAAAACGTTCCGAAGAATATTTAGTTATAAATTTGGCCGTTGAAAGAAAACTTTGAGCGATTTTCTTGCTTCGAGGAGTTCACTTTTGAAAACAGTAAACACCTCGCCGGGAAGCCGGCTTAAGCTTTACGCTTAAGACTCAGGATTTTTAGGGACACTTTAATACTTGTCTTCGTGAATGAAAATTGTTGTCTCTGTAAATGTTTCACCGAATTATATTTCTTTTTTTGATTGTTAGTAGTCTCTCTTGCAATTTTAATCGCTTGTCCGTGCCGTTTGTTTTCATCGTTCATGAACATCGCTTGCAGGAGTACTGAAAAATGTCACGCGCATCAAACGCCTTATAAGATTACACATCGTTATAACCTGAAACCATTAAGTAACAAAAAATAGTAATAATAATAAATTCGCTATTATGTTGAAGCGTAACTCTATTAAAGTTCATTCAAACACTCGACCACACTGACAGCTCGCACTATGAGAACCAGCTGGCCGTATGGGTGATTTACGAAATTTTTGACGGTTTCGCTTAAAGCCCACGATTGATCGTCCTGAATATTGACTGATTCATACGTGCCAGCCAGAAACCGTTCCGCCGATTGTCTCTTTTTGATTGGATGTCGTTAAACAACAAACGCTTACCAAGTCTTCTTCATCAGTTATTATTTAACCATTTGTTTAACGACATCCAATAAAAAAGGCAATCAGCGGGACGGTTTCTGGCTGGCACGTATGAATCTTGCTACGCATTCCAGTCGCTCGAATACTGTGGGATTTTGATTTTCTTCGAGGGCTAGCTCCGGGCCGTTTGGATGGATTTTCGATTGGAACGTACGAGAAGAATCGTGAATCTCTTGACCTTTATGCTACGAAGTTTGAAAGCGGAGCGATGCGATTTTGGGGGGAAAAATCGCTCCGGCGCTGGAACCCTTTCAAAACAAGGATTCCTCCCTTTTCCTTCTATTATATGGAACAGTCAACGGCGAACTCAAATTCATTCAAAATCGCTCAAAAAACCGCTTTTGAGGCAAAAGGACGACTATATACTACAGGTAAGGTAATTCAACGTTTATTTATCATTGATTTATATACATAGTTAGCGATATATCGCTATAGGTGAAGCAAACGGTAAACCCAGTACATTTACTATAAAATATTAAACAATCGGCTACACAAACAGATTGTGTGGGCCCCCTGTTATCCGGTCCGACTTTTGTACCTGCCTAAAACTAATCTCTTTTTCGAACTGGCGGACGACACGTCCCATACAGTTTGATGTAACATATTCTACTCATTAAATAGGTGACCGCAATAGAGTCAATTACATTTTACGTATAAACAATGATGAAAGTGGAATTTAGATTTTAAGAGTAGCATGTGTTTAGCGTTTTATGCATCGGTAGCCCTTCTCGAAGAGTTGGAAGAGAAGAGCACTTTGCAAACAGTTTAAGAGAGTTTGTTAAAAAATCAGATATAGTGAATTTATGGTAGTTAGATTATAACTCGGTAATAACAGAACAATTGATAGTGAAGAGAAAGAAATTATTTAATGTATTGCAGTCAGTTTCAAGGCCTCCTTAGATTGTTTTTAACAAGAGAGAGACGAGTATCTTTCAAGGATCGCAAGGGCGAGCCCGGAAGTCGCCAGACAGGCAGTTTGATGAGACTAAAGCGCGCCGAATAAATTAATTACGGATTTTGAAATACGTGCGTTTGAAATATCCCTACCCTGCTCCGCGCATTGAAATATATACCAATTATGCTCTGCTTGCTTTTAGCAGTCTACTACGGTGTATCGTATTAAAGCAAATACGCAATACGCCAATTAAAAAAGTTGCCAAAATTTTCTACTCTGATGATTTCCCCGTGATTTCCTCATCTCTGACAATCTCGCCTATCAAGAATGTTTTGTTTAGAAAGGCTGCTATATTCAGGCTTTATTTTCACTGTTATTTTACGTGATGTCTATTGAATGAACCGCAGGGTCTTCCCACAAGGGTTTTTCTTTGTTTGAGTACACTTGAATGTTTTCAAAGGCGACACTCAAACAAAGACTCTTAAAAGAGTTTTCGCGGATCATATTGAGTCGGCGTTTTCTTCTATTTACGTTTCTGTAAAAAAAGCCCGAAAGTAATGATGTCACGTTTTCCTACCGGCATTTTCTGGTTTGTTTTCAATGTACTGACATCATTCTTGACGCAATAATAGATTAAGACACCTCACTGATTTCTGGGGGAAGAAAAGCCAGCGCGACTTAGGTGAAGGTATGTTAGGAATGCTAGTACAATGTATTCGCATTCCTTTGTGGTACTTACAGTCAAGGCTCTGTGCGTCCTGTCACGCATACCGCATAATTATTTCATTCCGCAAGCCGTGCCACATGACATTCCGCAAATTCATTCCTCCTTTTACCCCTCACCGGCCAAAAATAGGAAAAAACAGGAACTTAACACCCTGTACCATACCAACCGAGAACAACAACAACAACAACAAAAAACAGTAGAAAATGTGTTAATCTAATACTTTCAAGCTTACTGAGGGAAAAGGCTTTCGTGGCATTGTGACAAAGTGTCTCCCTGTCAGCTATCGTTTGAGTCTCAGCTAAGTAATGTATCACCTCCAGATTTTCCGACTTTATTTCCTTATGTAGACCCCTGCTCTTGAATTTCGCTAGGTTGTGCTAAATGCACTGGACTCCAGATTATGCTTGCGAGAACGCGCGCAAAGCGCCAGGGAAAAAGATGAAATAGATATATTTTTTATATTTTCTCATCCACCTACCGCTAACCCTTACGCTAGCGGTCAATAAATCTATCACGGTTTTTATTTTCTTTCGCACGCTCCACGATATTTATAGTGAACAGTGTAGGTGAATGAAAGTGTATCCAGCGAGTTTATTGGTCCTTGAAATGAAGTCCTACCATTAAGGTGAGCAGCGAGAGGTCACGCAAGAGCTGCACGCGAAAAGAGGCGCGTGTGCGAGGGAGAAGAAAAGTTAGGGTTTTCCCTATTCCCTGTTGTTGAAACGGTGAACAGTGAAAGTAATGAAATCATTCCGTGTTAAATAGGGAAACTGACTGCTGCACCGGATAGAAGCCCAGCGTAATGCGAACATCAGTCCCCGGTTATTCATACAAATACAATCACTTAGGTACTGCAAAGGCAGTGAAGTAGAAAAAATGTAACAAGTTCCAAGTAAAGTTCTTTGATCGATTGTAAAGATTATATCGTGTCTGCTGCCCGTCAGGAAAAACCCCCTTAACTAAGGAGGGAACCAGAACCCTCCCGAAAGCAGAGCCAGACACTTAACATGAACCTCGAGGGAGAGAGGTTGAACTAGAATACAACATTATGAGTACGTCAAGGACCAACGACAATCAATTCAAATGAAACAAAAAGAAAAAAACATTAACAAAAGAAACTCAGGCAGCGCTGTCAGCTTAGAATGATCATCTCAGTAAAATCCCGCCCTTTTATACTTGAGTCTCCGTGACAGTTGTCAATAATTATAAGCTGGAACCGTGAAAACAATAATTTGCTGCTATTCTTAGAACTGCAGCAACTAACAAGTTTTCCCTATTCCCTATTTTTGAAACGGTGAACAGTGAAAACAATGAAATCATTCCGTGTGAAATAGGAAAACTGACTGCTGCACTGCATAGAAATACAACGAACGGGAGTGAAAATGTAACTTAAATCAAATTCCTAGAGATTTGGTGACTAGTAAGCAGTTATCAAGAGAATCTTCTACCTAACCGTCCTTGGCGGTCTCTGAATGCCATCTACCATGGCGTTTCCAGCATATATCTAAGACTTGTACATTGGCTGCTGTATTAGCTCCGCCTGATCTGAATGAGTGCAGGCTTTTGTTGGCCGTGTTGGGAACAAATTTGCGCAACAGCTTGACTAGGGATTCCTTTGCGCGGATATAACTGAGAGGTTTTACTTTACCTATAACTTTATATCCGGCTCTAACTTTGACTATAGGTTTGAACAAAAAATCTGAAACCTTAGATGTACTGACGCCTGTTAATTTCATGTACCTCTCTAGATTTGACACAGGACAGGTAACCTTTCCGGATCTACTGATCACCACTTCATTCCCCTTACGATATTGATCCACGTAGGGGCCAAACCACCCCATAAATGTTTCATCAGAGGCGCGCAGTATGTCATGGGAGATTTTTTTGGGCTTTGGTAAAATTCAAGAAGGCGGAACGTTTTTTTAAAGAGAATCCCCCTTCGGGGGAAATAAACAGATTTCTGCGCCGGAATAAGGGGCGATATACGTCTCAAACGGATACTTCTACTCAATTAAGGCAAATTTCGAGTTCTTATTCCCAACTTGAGGTAGGTGTCGACACTTAAGAAGCAAAGTACACGTCCAATGTGTCATGAAGCAAAGATCGAGAAATACAGCAGCTCCTGCCGAGCCAAGGAATGGTGCTTCGAATGTTAAAGAAAATTCATGACAAGATTATTAGAAGGCTGCGATTTACAATGGACGTCCCACTTGAGGTATTTGAAGTGACCTTATGTCACATCATTCAAAGCAACAATTTTGGTCACCGGTTTGAGGAAATGCTAGCCTACATCAAAGTTTCCATTACAGATACGAGGAAGGCAGTATTCATTTTTAAAAAAATGAACGTAGACTGTGTTATCGTGTCCCGTGCCAAGCTTCTGAAGAGGTCTTTAGGAATCTCTGATGAGTTAGAGAGGTGCGAGGTGGTTATCAGTGAAGAAAAACCCCTGGTACTGAAATACCACAAGAACAATGAGGTCTTATCTGTGTATTTTTGTTATGGGTACTGGAACCAGTATGGTATCCCACAGCATTAAGTTCAAAAACATTTACTTTAATGTTTAGTTCCAGAAAATCTCAATGCTCCTTCCACAAGAAAAGATTGGAATTTAATAGGACTAGGAGGGAGTTGGTTTTTGAAAACAAAGACCTAAGAAAAGTATGAAGCTTAACTGGGATTTTATGAGGTTCCAGAGGATCAAGTGGGGGCTCCCGGAGAAATGGATATTTAATGGAATAAAAATTATCAGCGTGCAAAGAAAGTCGTGTCTGATAGCGCGGGGCTAGTGGGTTTTACAATCAAGCTAATGAATTCTGTTCTTAACTTGCCCGAAAGGCAAGTGAAGTTTTTCGGGAAACTCAAATGACAGGAATAAATGCTCCTTATCAAGACCCTTGGGCTAGTACATACTAGCAGTAACTTGCCTAAATGGCAAGCCGTAAAACCGACTTTCTTTGCAACCTGACAATATTATATGATAGTGCAAGATCCATTTTCACTACAGATGTCAATAGTGGCAGTATTTACACCTGTAGGTTACCATTTAACTCTACCTCCATCGTGCTGAATACTCTCCGAACTGCAGCCCACTTGTAGCGAAGAAAAGTTGTTTGAAATCTTGCTTGAGCTGTTGCCATTTTTCAGATTTGACTGTATGTTTAAGGTCCAATTTGATAACAAATTGAGCAGTAACACATTATATTGATGGCTTTGGAGCCAAATTGTAATTCCAGATCCCAATTCTGTCAGTATAATAAGTGTATTTCCCTCAAAATCTTACTATTCCTTTTGTGAGGAACAAAGAACAATGTACGTAATATTATTGCTGATATAATTGCGGTTTAAATTCTTACTACTTGTTTAAAGTTGTACACATTATACAGAATATTCCCTTTCTTAAATTCTGTCCTTTTAAGCTGAAAATTTCTAACAAAAACTAAGCCAGATTTAAACAGCATACCTTCAGTTGATGAGCTTTTTCAAAGTGCAGAGTTATACACTGTACAACAAAACTGATACTTTTATGTAATAGTTTAGTTGTTGATATCAAATGTTGCTGTTTCAGTCTGCTAGGATCAGACTTTTTGTTAAATTTTTTAGCTTGGTTTCAATGACAGATGCTAAGACCAGGCTTATTATTCAAGTTTATGCCCAGTATCTTTCATTGGGCCGCCCTTAAAATATCACAGCAAGCTGGTCAAAAGCAGCGGTTCCCTTGTTTTTCAAACCAAGCAATGTAAAGAAATCGCCAACAACAACTTTTCAATATTACTGAACTTTATGCCCACTAAAATCACATAGGGTCGCCCTTCTAATATCACATCAAGATGGCAAAAAGCACCATTTCCATTGCATTGATGATTTTAAAACCAAACCCTTCAAAGCAAAACCCTGTATATGCAGCTACTTAATATAACCATCACATGCCAGCATGTTTCTTTTTAATCTATCATGCTCAGTATACTGTATAAATTATTTTACTGATTCTTTCAAATGTGTGACTAATAACCCCCCCCCCCACCACAGGGAACAGTAACTTTGAACAAAAAATAAATTCACAGTTTAGATGAGAAATGATCATGTTTTAATCTGAGAATGCAAGCTGGAGGACATAACACAAATGATATTTTATTTTCCATCTTAAAGAATACTTTATGTTGACTGAAATTTTGGCAGTCGGCGTTACAAATGCTGTACATCTACTGCTCTTTGGACAATCTTTCCAGCAGTCACACTTTCCCTGATATGATTTGTGACTGAACTGGTGCAGATATTGCAACCAGTGTTGTTGTGCTTTAACAGACCACATTGACAGAACCTCCCATCATTCTCTCTCACACTCTTTGGAATGTAAGTTTCACTCCTCTTTCCTTGCCCCTGCTTGTAGGACACTATAGGGATCCATTTTCTTCAGCCAAATCAGAGACACATACTCTGTCTGAATACAGTTGGCCACCCGGACTTCTTTTCCTGATTGCATGTATTCTTAATGTACAATGCCAACTTTACATGCTTGGCCTCACGGCCTTTTGCATTGAATTTAGTCCAAGGCTATGCCCTAGTTCTTCAAATAACTTCTTGGTGTGGTGAGGTATGGCATACCCCAGGGTCCACTCAGTCGGGTTCACACCCTTGAGAAACAACAAATTTGCTTTGAAATAATCGTGGCACAAGGTTTTAAACTCAACTACTTGTTCCTTCGTTATGTCTACTCTTGAATACAGGGATGCTGCAACCTAAGTTTCAGACCGGTAAATGCCAATGCATGGAGTTTTTGAACTGAGCCTGGTGAAAGTCTTGGATTAATTGACATGACTTCCTGGATTAAGGCATTAAAGTACCAGGAAAAGTTCTTAGATTCTAACCCCGTAAATCGGTAGGTGAAAGAAATTCCTTTCTTTCTCTTTTTCCCCAAACCATCTGACAAAAGAATTATACAGCCTACCACACTTTGCAGTTTCTCTCATATGTGTCAGAAATTTTGTCACTGGTGAATCACCTGGCATATCTGATAAACTTGATGCTGATTTAAGTTGGGCATTGTCAGTGTACTGCATAACTACTGTTACTAGATCAGTAAACCAATGCTGCCAGGCATTATTCGTGTTATGCAAGGGCTCTGCTTTTATCAGATTGACAAACTTACCCAAAGGAGGGACAAAC